TTCCCTAGTTGGGGAATCGTCCTTTTACATGAAAACAGCCAAGCTGAGCACCAAAGGCCCCAGAGTTCAAGCCCCAGCTACACATATTCTCTTCTGTCTTCTCCTCCTCCTCTCCTTTCTCCTCTTCCTCCTCCTCCTCTCCTTTCTCCTTTCTCCTCCTCCTCCTCCTCCCCGCAAATGCCACTCCCTTCTAGCACTGAGGATGTTCCCTAGTTGGGTCATGAAATGTCTGCAAGAAAACCACCCAGCTCAGAGATCACCAAAGACCCCACAGTCCTCCTCCTCCTCCTCCTCCTCCTCTCCACACCCCCCCCCCCCCCCCCCCCCCCCCCCCCCCCCCCCCCCCCCCCCCCCCCCCCGTCTCTTCTAGCCCTGATGATGTTCCCTAGTTGGGGAATCGTCCTTTTACATGAAAACAGCCAAGCTGAGCGCCAAAGGCCCCAAAGGTCAAGCCCCAGCTACACATATTCTCTTCTGTCGGTAATTGCTTTTTCCTTCTGCTTCTCCCGGATCTCCTCTCTCCAAACACGGAATCTGCGCTCTGCCTTAACCCCGCAGCCCTCTTCCCTCTGTGCCAGGCTCGGCTCTGGACGGGCTGGGCAACCTGCCTCTCAATTCAGCCCTCAGCATTGATCAGGGGAAGGAGGGGGGGAGAAGCCGCAGCGAACAGACCAGCAATGCCTGCCAGCCCTGGTGCTCTCTGGAGGGGGGGGGCAGAATCCATGAACTTTACAAGGCCCAAGGAAGCCCCCCCCCCCCGCAGGTGGCCTGAGCCGAGGGTTAAAGGTCGCAGCTACCTTGGCTGTAAATGCTGGGCCCGCCCTTCCTAGATCTGTTTCCTGGGACAGGTGGGGAATGAGGGGGTCATAGCCCAACTTAGCTAGTTCAGGGGTTTCTCTTCTAGGATCCACTCTGAGGTCAATCAGAATAGAGCTGGAAGGGACCTCGGAGGTCATCCAGTCCAACCCCCTGCTCAAACGGGAAACCCTGCACCATTTCGAACAGGTGGCTGTCCAGCCTCTTCTTAAACACCTCCAGGGATGAAGCACCTGCAATTTCTGGAGGCAACTTCTGTTCCCCTGATTGATTGTCCTCACTGTCAGGAATTTTCTCCTTGATTCCAGGTTTCTTCTCTCATCAGTGAGGAAGGAAGGAAGGAAGGAAGGAAGGAAGGAAGGAAGGAAGGAAGGAAGGAAGGAAGGAAGGAAGGAAGGAAGGAAAGACTGTGGGGTCCTTGGTGCTCTCTGAACTTGCTTGTTTTCTTGCAGACGTTTCATGGCCCAACTAGGGAACATCATCAGGGCTAAGAGGAGGGGGAGGAGGAAGAGAGGGGGTGGGGGATGGGGAGGAGGACTGTGGGGTCCTTGGTGCTCTGAGCTGGGTGGTTTTCTTGAAGATGTTTCATAACCCAACTAGGGAACTTCATCCGTGCTGGGAGTGGGGTGTGTGAAGAGGAGGACTGTGGGGTCCTGGGTGCTCTCTGAGCTTGGATGTTTTCTTGCGGTCCTTTCATGACCCAACTAAGGAACATCATCAGTTCTAGATGGGAGTGGGGTGTGTGGAGAGGAAGAGGATTGTGGGGCCCTTGGTGCTCTCTGAGCTTCGATGTTTTCTTGCAGACGTACCCAAACTAGGGAGCATCCTCAGCGCACCCACCCAGTTCGGGAAATGGACCCTGTGCAAGAAAACAGTCAAGTTCAGAGACCCCCTCTTGGACCCCCCCCATCTTCCTCTCCTCACCCCGAATATTCTTTGAGTTGCTAGTGCTGCCCGTTGTTCTGTCCCCGTTCCGACCCACACCCCCAAACAGCCAGCCGAGGGTTAAAGACTTCTTCCAGACACCACTTCACCGATAAGAAACTTGGCAGCAGCTCCGTAGCTGCCTGCCAAGACCTTTTACTCCAAACACCCAGAAACAAAAACAATACACACAGTTTAAAGCCACAGCACACTACTTTGCCAGAGATTCAGCTTTTGTCCGTCACAGAGGTCCAAATGGCCACCACCACCCTTTTATAGCCTGTGGGGTGTGGTCCAGTGACTCAGCTTAATCTCTGGCACGTCTCCTTTTCTGCTGCGCACGCTTGTCGCTCCTACGCTGGCGTGGATCCAGCCACAACTTNGCTTGTCTTCAGAAAATCGTGGGCACTCCATCACTGGAGGCTTTTAAGAAGAGACTGGACAGTCACTTGTCTGAGATGGATAGAAGGAAGGAAAAAAGGGAAGGAATAGAATAGATGGACAGAAGGAAGGAAAAAAGGGAAGGAATAGAATAGATGGACAGAAGGAAGGAAAAAGGGAAGGAATAGAATAGATGGATAGAAGGAAGGAAGGAAAAAGGGAAGGAATAGAATAGATGGATAGAAGGAAGGAAAAAGGGAAGGAATAGAATAGATGGATAGAAGGAAGGAAGGAAAAAGGGAAGGAATAGAATAGATGGATAGAAGGAAGGAAAAAGGGAAGGAATAGAATAGATGGATAGAAGGAAGGAAGGAAAAAGGGAAGGAAGGAATGAAGGAAGGGATATTAACACCTCTGGGTTTCTTCCTCTTTACCTGGGGGGTTCCCTGGTGTTCAGCTGCAGATGGGGGGGGCAGCCTCAGTGCTTCCAGGCCGATTCATCGGCCCCAAGGAGACTCTTCTCCTCCTGGCCTGGGAGGGGGGGGCTCCCGGCTGAGGTCCAGGCTGGCTGCAGCTGCCCATAAAGGCATTGAAGGGGGGGGGGGCTTTAATTTAGCCACAGTTCTGGGCTCCCCTGGGCTCCATTGCTTTGGGTCTAACCCCTCTCTGTGTCCCCCCCTCCCCACAAGCCCTTCATTGCAGCTGTTGTCTCCCTGCCTTTTTGATTCAAAAGGGAGGAAGGAAGGAAGGAAGGAAGGAAGGAAGGAAGGAAGGAAGGAAGGAAGGAAGGAAGGAAGGGAAGCCGAAGCAGCCCCTGCAGGTGTGCCTGGCCCAGAGAAGCCGTCAAACGCAAACCTTTACAGCCATTTTGCAACTTCTCTAAGTGGCCATTTGAAGCCTGCAAAAGGGGGGCATTATTTTTGTTGGGATTTCCCCCCCCCAAATCAGGGGGAACGCTTTTCTTACATCCCACCCACTTTTTGCTAGCCAACACCCCCCCCCTTCCCTCCACGGAGGAGAGCCTGGATGATTCTCCCGGGAGGTGAGAGCCCAGCGCCCCCCCCCCGGAAGGAAAAGTGGTGGAAGCAAGGGAACTTAGGGGGCGCTGGGAGTAGGGGAAGCCCCCTTCCCCCCTGGGGTGACCCCCTGGTTCTCCTGGCCTTGTCTCCCCCGTGGAGGGCAGGCCCAGTTTTTCCAGGGTGGCGAAGCGCTTGAGGCTCTCCTCCGCTTGAAGGTTTTGGGCACTGCAGATTAGATGGTGGAGCTTTTCTGGCAGGCCAGGGGCAGTCTGGGAAAAAGGAGGGAGGAGGGAAAGAAAGAGCAGGAAAAGGAGAAAGGGAGGGAGGGAGGAAGGAAAGAGGAATGGAAAGGGGAGGGAGAGAGGAAGGAAGGAAGGAAGAGAAAGAAAGAGGAATGGAAAGGGGAGGGAGAGAGGAACAAAGGAAGGAAGGAAAGAAAAAAAAGGAAGGAATGGAAAGGGGAAGGAGAGAGGAAGGAAGGAAAGAAAAGAAAGTGGAAAAAAGAAAAGACAAAGGAAAAGGAAAATGGAAGGAAGGGGAAAAAAGAGTAGGAAAGAAGGAAAAGAGGAAGGGAAGAAGGGAGGGGGGAAGAAAAAGAAAGGAAAGAGGGAAAAGAGGAAGGGAAAGGGAAGGAAGGAGGGAAGAAGGAAGAAAGGAAGGAAAAGAAAGTAAAAGGAAGGAAGGAAAAGAGAAAGGGAAGGGAAAGGAACGAGGGAGGAAGAAAGGCAGAAAAGAAAGAAAAGAAAAAGAAAGGAAAGGAGGGTGGGAGGAAGGAAGGAAGAGAAAGAAGGAAGGAAAGAAGAGAGAGAAGGGGAAGAAAGACAAGGAAGGGAGGGAGGGAAAGAGGAAAGAAAAAGAGAAAGGGAGGGGAGGGGGATTCCCGTGGGGGGACCCATTGCTGGCAGCTCTTTCCCCACCTGGGAGGGGGCAGAGTCCGACCTCCACCGGGCACAGATGGGCAGGGAGCCCCTGGACCTCCCCACCACTGCCCCCCCCCACCAGGCAATTGAGCCGAATCCTGCCCGCCTCCCTCCTCCCTCTTGCTGCAAAGGTTGTGTTGGAGTCTACCACGGGGTCCCAGCCCCAGTGCTGCTTTTACTTTGGGACACCCCCCCCGAGAGGCGAGGACTGGGAGCGTGGGGAGGGGCTCACCTTCCTCTGCTGACTGCTTGAACATAATCATAAAGTTGGAAGGGACCTTGGAGGTCATCTAGTCCAACCCCCTGCTCAGGCAGGAAACCCTAGACCATTTCAGACAAAGGGCTGTCCAGTTTCTTCTTAAAAACTTCCAGTGTTGGAGCATTCACAGCTTCTGGAGGCAGGTTGTTCCACTGGTTAATTGTTCTCACTGTCAGGAAGTTTCTCCTTAATTCCAGTTTCTCCTTGATCAGTTTCCATCCGTTGCTTCTTCTCCTGCCTTCAGGCGCTTTGGAGAAGAGCTTGACTCCCTCTTCTTTGTGGCAGCCCCTGAGATACTGGAAGACTGCTATCATGTCCCCCCTCGTCCTTCTCTTCATTAAACTAGACATCCCCAATTCCAGCAACCGTTCCTCATATGTTTTAGCCTCCAGTCCCCTGATCCTCTTTGTTGCTCTTCTCTGCCCTCTTTCTAGAGTCTCAACCTCTTTTTTACATCGTGGTGACCAAAACTGGATGCCGTATTCCAAGGGTGGCCTTACTAAGGCCTTGTAAAGTGGTATTAATACTTCATGTGATCTTGATTCTATTCCTCTGTTAATGCAGCCCAGCACTGTGTTGGCTTTTTTGGCAGCTGCAGCACACTGCTGGCTCCTATCTAAGGGATTGTCCACTGGGACTCCGAGGTCCCTCTCGCAGTTACTACTATTTTCCTTCTCAAAGCCCAACAGAGGCACCAAGCGGACCCGGGACGACGAGGAGGAGGAGCTGAAGGGGCGGCCCAAGCCAGCCGGGTCCCGGGAGCGTGGCCGTTTCCGGGAGGAAGACCCCCCGGCTGCCGAGGAGTCCGAAGAGGAGAAGAAGAAGCTGCACCACGTCTTTGAAAAAGGCGAGGAGGAGGAGGAGGAGGTGGGTGAGGGTCTCGTTCTGTCCCGCCCCCCCGTTCTCGGCCCTTCCCTCCCCTCCCCTCCCATGACCAGGCAGACCCTCCCCTCTCCAAGGCGGCGCCCTGGGGGTCTCTTCCGTTGGGCAGGAGAGGGTGAAAGTCCATATTACAGGGGTCCCCAGTCTCGGCCCCCTGACTCCCAGAATTCCTGCGGCCGAGATTGGGGACCCCCCCCCGTCAAAGAACATGGACTTCTAAGGCTGGGAGGGACCTTGGAGGTCTTCTAGTCTGACCCCCTGCCCAAGAGGGGAGTCCTTAGACCCGGGGATCCTCAAACGTGGCCACTTTTAAGACTTGTGGACTTCAACTCCCAGAATTCCCCAGCCAGCTATGCTGGCTGGGGAATTCTGGGAGTTGAAGTCCACAAGTCTTAAAAGTGGCCACGTTTGAGGACCCCTGCCTTAGACCATCCCAAGTCAAGCTTAGCTCGCCATCTTCTTTGAGAAAGGACACCTTGAGGTCATGTAGACTATCCGGCGTTCACACAGACACGGAAAAAGAAGCATTTCCCATCAGGGCTACTTTCCCAAGGTGACAATTCACAGCATTCCAGGGTGTGTGTGTGTTGAAAAACCAGCAAAATGTATTTATTGGTGTGGTTTATTATTTATTAAACAAATTTATGCAGCCCCCCCAACTCATACATAATGGACTTTCAGGCAGCTTCCCATTTTTTTTATTTTTTTAAAAAATCCATCATTTACTTGAAAACCCATTACAAGCCCCACCCCACATCTCACCTCTTTCCTGTGGGAGTAACAACACAATCCATGTTGGCAGCAACAACAACAAGACAGTTGAACAAATTTTGCAACAGCCTTAAAAACTCCCCTCGCTTGTTAATTCTCTCGTTCCGGTCACTTCCTGTATTCTTCCTGCAAAGCCCCCCCCCCCACTATTTTCACAGGGAGTCCCCCAACTTGCAACAGTTCATTTAATGACCGAAGCTACAACAGCACTGAAACAAGTGCTATTATGGCCGTTTTTCACACTTAACAACCGTTGAAGCATCCCCTTGGTCAGGGGTCGGCAACCTTAAACACTCAAAGAGCCACTTGGACCCGTTTCCCACAAAAGAGAAAACACGGGGAGCCACAAAACTCATGCGCACACGCATGCGGGGGGGAGGGGGGCTTGATTCAAGAGTTTAATTAAAAAGAAATAGAGGCTGCTGCGCATGAGTTCTCTTTCCCTCTCTCAGCTGGCCTCACGCGGTTCTCCAACAAGCTGACACACATTCGTATTCGGCTGGCTCTCTCTTGCCCTTGGTCTGCCAGTCCTCTTACCCCCACTAAGTAAGTAAAAGTTGTGTGTGTGTGTGAGAGAGAGAGAGAAAGAGAGAGAGAGAGAGAGAGATGCTGCTTGCTGCTTTCTGCTGCTTCCTGCGGAGACGCAGCAAGGGCAGGGAGCCCACCCAATCAGCTTGTCAGCTTGTCGGAGAACAGTGTGAGGCCAGCTGGCCAGGTGAGCAGAAGATAGATAGAGAGAGAGAGAGGGAGAGAGAGAGAGAGAGAGAGAAGGGAAGTGCAAGTGCCTCTTTCTGTCTCTCTCTCTCTCTCTGCAAATGGTGGAGGAGGACTGGGAGCCACAGGAGAAGGCTCAAAGAGCCACATGTGGCTCCGGAGCCGCAGGCTGCCGACCCGTGCCCTTGGTCATGTGATCAGAATTCGGACGCTTGGCAACTGACTCGTATTTACGACGGTTGCAGTGTCCCCGGGGGGGGGGTCACGTGATCCCCTTTTGGGACCGTCCAACAAGCAAAGCCCACGGGGGAGCCAGGTTCACTTAACAACCAGATTTCTGACTTAACAACCGCAGTGATTCACTTAACAACCAGGTCCTAAAATGGGGCAAAACCCAGCTAACAACTACCTCGATTAGCAGTAGAAATTTTCTAGTCAGTTCTGGTTGTGAGTCAAGGGCTACCTGTATTTGGTTTCTCAGGTAAGCCCACTCCCCACCAATAAAGGAGAATATTGGTAGTTCAGAGATGAAATGGGGGGGGGGTCCTTGGTGCTCTCCCGCCAATTGTTATGTGACACAGCAGGAGGGGGGAGAAATGGGGTGGAGAAACAGGAGACCCTCCCGGCCGTCCCTTGCCAGAACTCCGGTGTTGGGGGGACCCTGATCCAAGATGGCGGCCAGCCCCACCTTTAGCAGGAAGACGGTTCCGATGCCTTGAAGGGAGACTGTTCAGACGTGGGTTTGTGGGGTGCCAGTGGAGGCTGTGACTGCGTCCTTAAATGAGGCTGTGTTTGGCCAGGAGGAACCTCTGGATGAAAGCTCCGTGAAGAAGATGATCCTCACCTTTGAGAAAAGATCTTACAAGAACCAGGAACTCCGGATCAAATTCCCAGACAATCCAGAGAAGTAAGTCCGGGTTGGGGGGGGGTCGGCCTGTTTCTCCAGGCTCCGCTCTCCGGAAGGCCAGGTGGAAGTTCTCAAGGACAAGGCCAATGTTGACTCTAGAAGCATAGGTGTTCTGTCCCAGCCTACGTGTGTCCTTGTTTTTTTTTATATATATATATATAAAATTTTATTGATTTTTCAATTAGAAACAATAACATAAATATGATGCAGTTAATCACAATATGAACCAAAAAAAAATAACACTACTCAATACATTCATGGAAGTGTCCGGTGCCCCCCCCTGCACCCCCCTCTTTCACTTTCCATACCTTCCTCCTCCCTAACCTCAACCTCTCCTCCTTCCTCCCTCTCTCCTACTTCCCTTCCTCTCTCAACCATCCCGTCTGGTGCAGTTGGGGTATCCACCGGGCACCTCCTTAAAAAAGAATCACATATATAAATCTACAATACATCAGTTTATATACATCTATCTATTCCCTTTCCCCCCTCCCCCCCCAGGACTTCCCAGAGCTGAACCAGGTAGTAAACACACAATAATCCCATTCTATCCAAAGCTACTCATTGTTANAAAATTCATACAAATTTTATAAATATAACAATTATTTGTTTTTATATATGTTGAGCTCACAAGGAGAAACCCCTCTTCCAACAAGCAGGCTGGAACCGCAGGAAAAAAAACAATCCTCTTTTATTATTCACAGACCTGAGTCAGTGTCCAAGGCAAACAAACACAGTCCACACAAACTCGATCCCTTAACACAACGATTGCCTTCGGCAACCAGCACCTCCCACACCTTCCCTTTTATCATTCAGCCACGGCGTGGCTTCCTAATGCCTTCTCCTTTGCCTTTGGAGCTGCCCCATTGCATTCCTCTGTGCTACTCTCTTGCCTGTGCATTCATGCATCCGGGATTTGTCCCAGCTGTTCTTCATCACTGTCCAACTCAGACTCCCAGCACAGCTGTGTCTCAGCCTGAGTGCGAGTAGAGGGGCCAGGCTCCTCGTCCGACTGTAAGTCTTGGAGCACCTCAGGGCCTTCCTTTGACTCTGGTGTCACTCCAGGCCCCTCCTCCTCCTCCTCCTCTGATTCCTCAGACTCAGCTGCCGGGTCCACTGGCTGGTGAGGAATCACAACAGTAGGAGATGGCCAGGCTGAGCCCGAGGGTGGAGGGGTTGAGCACGTCATGAGTCTGGAGTCCCTTCGCCCCCCCCCCAAGAGATCTTAAGTCCAGCCCACCTCGGATTCCATCGACTCTTATGACCCGTTAGTAGATCAGATTCTTGTAGGGAACATCAGCATGCAATATATTTTGTATTTGTGTGAACAGCCTGACCAGAACAGTTCCTAACGGAAACGAGTTTGGAACGAGACGGTCCCAGCACTCTGAGCTTCTTTCATCTTTTTAGCCTTTCCAACCTTATTCATGCTTCAATTGCAACATACGAGCGATCCCTGGCTTACAACCGTTTGTTTAGTGACCGTTCAAAGTTACAACAGCACTGAAAAGAGTGACTCACGACCACTTTTCACACTTAATGACCGTTGCAGCATCTCCTAAGGTCACATGATCAAAATTCAGACCCTCGGCCACTGACTCGTCTTTATGATGGTAGCTGCGTCCCGGGATCCCCGTTTGCGACCTTCTGATAAAGCGAAATCAATGGGGGAGCCAGATTCACTTAACAACCCTGGGGTAGGCAACCTTGGCTCTTTTATGACTGGTGGACTTCAACTCCCAGAATTCCTGGGCCAGCATGGGGGAACTATGGCCCCCTCGTGACCCATGGACTTCAACTCCCAGAATTCCTGAGCCAGCATGGGGGAACTATGGCCCCCTCATGACTGGTGGACTTCAACTCCCAGAATTCCTGAGCCAGCATGTCTCAGCTTGGAAACCTCTCCCTTTCCCCTCAGCGTGGCTGGCTCAGGAATTCTGGGAGTTGAAGTCCACCAGTCATCAAAGAGCCGAGGTTGCCTACCTCTGGACTAACTTAATAACTGCAGGGATTTACTTAACAATGGTGGCAAGAAAGGTCATAAAATGGAGTAAAACTCAATTGGGCTCCATTGTGGTCATACGTTGAGGACTGTGTGTACTAAAAATCCAGAAAAGGCTCTCTCTGTCTCTCTCTCTGTCTCTCTTTCCCTCTCTGTCTCTCTCACACACACACAATACACCCCCACACACTCCATTTGCAGCTAAAAGAACCCTGAGTGCCCTTGATAGCCCATTTGGTGTCAGCAACAGACGTTGAGGGAGAGCCATAACTCACTGTAGCTGTTCTGCTGACCCTCCTGCTTTTGAACTTGGCCTGTTCCTCCCGGTTTCAGTTTTGGACAGGGCCTGGCTCTTCCTGCCTCTTTGTTCTCTGGGTGGCGAAAGAAGGAGAGAGAGAGAGAAAGAAAAAAAGAGAGAAAAAGAAAGAAAAAGAAAGAAAGAAAGAAAGAAAGAAAGAAAGAAAAAGAAAGAAAGAAAGAGACAGAGGGAGAAACAAAAAAAGAGAAAGAAAGAGACAGATTAAGAAAGAGAAATAAAGAAACAGAAAGGGAGAAAAAAAGAGAAAGAAAAAGACAAAGAGAAATAAAAAGACAGAAAGAGGGAGAGAGAAAAAGAAAGAGAAACAAAAAAGAGAAAGAAAAAAACAAGGGAGAGAGCGAGAAAGAGACAAAGAGATAAGAAAGAAAAGAAAGAAAGAAAGAGAAAGAGGGAAAGAAAAAGAGACAGGAAGAAAGAAAACGAGAAACAAAAAAAGAAAGAGACAAAGAGGGAGAGAAAGAGAGACAGAAAGAGACAGAAAAAAAGAGAAAGAGAGAGAGAGAACATTCCTTGGAATAATTCAATAGTCAAACCAAATCTGAGATTCCCTGTAGCCTTTTCTAGATTTTTAGTACAGGTTGTCCTTGACTTATGACCACAACTGAGCCCAACATTTCCATTGTTGTGGTTTCCCGTGTGTTCTCAAGGACTCTCTGAAAGGAGGCAAAGGACCAGCGGTCTGCAAGGAGTATAAATCCTTCCCTTCCCCACCGTCTAGTCAGAACCTGAGGAAGCTTCTGGGATGAGAAGTGAAACATCTTCAAGGAAATGCCTGTGAAGATTCTCAGTCACCCGGGTCCTGGTTGTCCCAAAGGGGCTTTTTCAGGAGGCCACTGGACTTTCTTGTGTTTCTTTGAAGACGTTTCGCTTCTCATCCTAGAACAGTGGTGGCGAACCTAGGGCACGGGTGCCAGAGGCGGCACTCAGAGCCCTACCTGTGGGCACGTGCGCCGTTGCCCCAGTCCTAGGCCTTCAGCTGGGTTTTATAAGACCTTTTCGCTTTAGGCCTCCGCCGCCATGTGCAAAAAAAAAAAAAAAAGGTTCAATCAATCAGTCAATTTCAATTTCTCATGGGAAAAAAAGATCTTGCAAAGTTGGAATTGATTGATTGAACTTTTTAGTCCCACCCAGTCTGCCGTTACCACCGCAGCCACGCCCAGCCAATAGGCCACACCCAGCCAATGGGCCACACCCACCCGGCACCCGACGATGCATTAGTGGGTTTTGGGTTGCAGTTTGGGCACCCGGTCTCTAAAAGGTTCGCCATCACTGTCCCAGAAGCTTCCTCAGGTTCTGACTGGATGGTGGGGAAGGGAAGGATTTATACTCCTTGCAGAGAGCCGGTCATTTACCTCCTTTCAGAGGGTTGTTGGGGCTATTTGGACACAGGTAAAACCTCCAGGTGGCCTCAAGGACTCTCCAAAAGGATGCAAAGGACCAGCTGTCTGCAAGGAGTATAAATCCTTCCTTTCCCCACCATCCAGTTAGAACCTGAGGAAGCTTCTGGGATGAGAAGCGAAATGTCTTCAAAGGAAAAACAAAGAAAGTCCTGTTGCCTCCTGGAAAAGAAGCACCTTTGGGGCAACTGTACTTTGTTGGTGTTTTCGTTGAAGACGTTTCACCTCTCATCCAGGAAGCTTCTTCAGTTCTACTTTCGAGCTTCTTGAGCGAGAAGCAAAACGTCTTCGAGGAATCAAACCCAAGAAAGTCCAGGTGCCTTTTGGGAAAGCATCTTTGGGACCAGCGGCCAGATTCCTAGATCTCTTGGATCCTGCTGACGTCTGTTCCTCTGTCCGTAGATTCATGGAATCCGAGCTGGATCTCAACGACATCATTCAAGAGATGCACGTCGTCGCCACCATGCCGGACCTCTACCATCTCCTGGTGGAACTCAACGCCGTCCATTCCCTCCTTGGGCTGCTGGGGCACGACAACACCGATATCCTTCTGGCTTCGTTGGTGTCGCTCTTGCGTTCCTTGGGGGGCTTGGCAACCGGAAGAACGTCTTGGGCTGAGTGGGGTGTGAACCTGGGGTGTGACACCTGTCTCCAAAGGATGCTCCAGAGCAGGGGTCTTTCAAACCTGGCCCTTTTATGACTGGTGGACTTCAACTCCCAGAATTCCTCAGTCGGCCATTTTGATGAACCTGCGGACTTGGATCCAGACCGGAGGGTCTTCAAACTTGGCCCTTTTATGACTGGTGGACTTCAACTCCCAGAATTCCTCAGTCAGCCATTTTGATGAACCTGCGGACTTGGATCCAGACCGGAGGGTCTTCAAACCTGGCCCTTTTGTGACTGGTGGACTTCAACTCCCAGAATTCCTCAGCCAGGCATGAGAATTCTGGGAGTTGAAGTCCACAACTTGTAAAAGGGCCATGTTTGAAGGCCCCTGCTCCAGAGGTGAAGAAACTGAGTCTGCAGCACCCCCAGGTAGATGCCCAGATGGTCAGATGGGGAATGCAATTCAAGCTGCTGATGGGCCGATCGGGTGGGAGGTGAGGGAGGCAGGCTGGCACGCTGGGAGACCCTTCCCCCTCCCATTGTTAGCCCCTTTTGGAAAGTTTGGTCTCCTTCAGTAAATTAGAACTGATTTTTTTTGTGTGTTATCACTGTCCGTCTGCTACAGGAGTGTCCAAACTTGGCAAATTTAAGACTGGTGGACTTCAACTGGCTGGGGAATTCTGGGAATTGAAGTCCACCAGTCTTAAAATAACCAAAGTTGGACAGGTTGAAGTCCCTAAGTTGTAAAGATGCCAAGGTTAGACATCCTTAGCCTATACCAGGGGTCTTCAAACATGGCCCTTTTATAACTTCAACTCCCAGAATTCCTCAGGCACATGTGCCTGCCTGAGGAATTCTGGGAGTTGAAGTCCACAAGTCATGAAAGGGCTAAGTTTGAAGACCCCTGCCCTATACTATTCTGGACAAATGGCTGTCCAGCCTCTTCTTGATAACCTGCAGTGATGCAGCACCCACAACTTCTGGAGGCAAATCCTTCTATTGGTTAATTGTTTTCACTGTCAGGAAATTTCTCCTTAGTTCTAGGTTGCTTCCCTTGGGTAACAGAATCACAGAGTTGGAAGGGGCCTTGGAGGTCTTCTAGTCCAGCCCCCTGCTCAAGCATGAGTCCCTCTAACATTTTAGCCAAATGGCTGTCCAGTCTCTTCTTGAAAAACCTCCAGTGTTGGAGCACCCACAACTTCTGGAGGCAAGTTGTTCCCCTGGTTAATTGTCCTCTGTCATGGTTCTGAAAGGTGAAACTCCAAAGAACTTCGAGGCATTGTTTACCTTAAAGAATCTTTATTAGAGAAGCATAGCGTGGGGCATTAACAGAGTGGAAGCCAAAAACTGGACCCCCCTCCCCTGAGCACATAGTATCAAAGCACAATTCCCTCCTCCAATTAACTGTCATAAATCACATTCCCCAATTAGTTTGAAATGCAGGCTTTCCCTCCAGTTCTCCAGCCCGCCAATTCTTATCATCTCTTATTTCAATAACCTTGGTTCTCACACTAGGTCCAGTATTGTTATATCTAGCTAAACTCTCACGTACATTCCTCCCCCCAGCATCATCTAACTCTAGCTCTAACTCTAAGAGTAAAACATAAGAAGAAAATGGTTGCATCTCCAACTGTTGTCGAAGCAAAAACATCCGATGTTAGGAGCGTTGACATCCTCACTGTCATGAAATTTCTCCTTAGTTCTAGATCGGTTCGGTAAATGTAATGAAATGTGACAACAGATGAATGGAACAGCATGCTGGCTGGGGAATTCTGGGAGTTGAAACCCACAAGTCTTAAAGTTGCTCAAGTTTGGACACCCCTGCTCGATCGGGTTAGCAGGCCAGATTTTTTTTTTCCTGGCCCTTATTCCCCAGAGCTTATTAAGGCAGCCTCTCTCTGCCATGTTAGTGGGCAGCTGGGAGTTTTTTTCTGTCTGTTATCTTGAGTTAAACTGCAGTTGCGATGGAAAAAAGTGAAAAGGCTTTGTGAAAATTGCCTGCAGCTCTTCCGTGGACATTTAACAAATCTATCAAACGGTCAGTCGGATGTCAGCCTGTTGCCTTTCCTAGTTACTGATAAGCAACAGTTGAAAAAAAAAACCTCTTTAGAAATGTTATGTTGGCCAGGAAGGAAGGAAGGCAGGCTAGATGAGAAGGCAGAGTTAAAAAACAAAACAAAAAAAGATTTAAGAACAAGGTCTCAAATGTTCTTTGAGAACAAAGAAAAAGGAATTTTTTTTTCCTTCCGTTTGGCTTCTTTGCTACATGATATCCCAAAGGTGCTTTTCTCCTGACAGCAATTGGACTTTAGCTGATTTTTCTTGAAGACATTTCACTGCTCATCCGAGAAGCTCCTTCCATTCTAAGCAACATCTTCAAGAAAAATCAATAAAGTCCAGTTGCTGTTTGGACAAAAGCACCTTTGGGACGATCATGACCTGGATGACAGAGAATCTCCATCGAACATGCTACACTACGGTGGATGTTTTTGCTACGCTGAGCAGTGCGCGCTCACTTACGTTTGTGAAAATGCCTGTGCGTGCTGTCGACACTCATTCCATTTGAGGCAGTCAAGCTAGGAGCAGCTGGCAAACAAACGTAGGTTACTCCGCTCTGTTGCGTCCCCCACAGCTACCTCTGGGTGCGAAAGTGGGACCGTGAGAAAGCAAGACGGGAAGAACGTGGATTCGTTTGAGGTGCGGTGCTGGAGAAGGTGCCTGCGTATTCCTCGGATAGCAAAAGGGACTAACAAGCAAGTCCCGGACTGCATAACACCAGATGTGTCACTGGAAGGCAAAACCACGAAACTGCATCTCACTTACTCAGGCCACGCCAGGCGGGGGAATTTTCTGTAGAAAACAATTCCTGTTTGGAAGACTTGGTGGTTAATTTGGCTGTGCCAGCAACTGTCGATTGTGATACCTTCCTTGGCTACTGTGCATTTTAATTTGTATGTTGAATGGAATGGAATGGAATGGAATAGAATAGAATAGAATAGAATAGAATAGAATAGAATAGAATAGAATAGAATAGAATAGAACCTTGGAGGTCTTCTAGTCCAGCCCCCTCCTCAAGCAGGGGAACTTACAGGATTTCAAACAAGTGATTCTTCAATCTCTTCTTAAAAACCTCCAGTGATGGAGCCCCACAACTTGTGGTGGCAAGCAGTTCCACTGGTTAATTGTCCTCACTGTCAGGAAGTTTCTCCTTAATTCCAGGTTGCTTCTCTCTTTGATCGGTTTCCATCTGTTGCTTCTTGTCTGGTGCTTTGGAGAATAATTTGACCCCCTCTTCCTTGTGGCAGCCCCTCAGATACTGGAATGCTGCTATCAGGGGGTCACGTTATTCTCCAAAGCACCAGCAGGAAGGACGAGAAACAATGGTTGGAAACTGAACAAAGAGAGAAGCAACCTGAAATTAAGGAGAAACTTCCTGACGGTGAGGACAACTAACCAGTGGAACAGCTTGCCACCAGAAGTCATGGGCGCTCCATCACTGGAGGTTTTTAAGCTGAGATTAGACTGTCACTTGTCTGAGACGGTATAGGTCAGGGGTAGGCAACCTTGGCTCTTTTATGACTCGTGGACTTCAACTCCCATACTGGCTCAGGAATTCTGGGAGTTGAAGTCCACAAGTCATAAAAGAGCCAAGGTTGCCTACCCCTGGTATAGGTTCTGCTTGAGCAGGGGGCTGGATTAGAAGACCTCCAAGGTCCCTTCCAGTTTTATTCTATTCTGACCTGGACTTTCATTTGGATTCTCAAGCTGGAGGGTGACACAAGCAAGTATGGAATGCATAACACCAGACATGTGACTGGAAAGGCAAAATCGCAAAACTGCATTTTGCTTATTTTGACCCCGTCACGTGGAGGAATTCCCTGGAGAAAGCGATGATGTTGGGAAGAGTTAGCAGTAAAAGGAAACCAGGCTGTCAAAGAACACGGTGGCTGGATGCCTTCAGAGCCGGTACCAGCCAGCACTTAGAACAGGGGTAGGCAACCTTGGCTCTTTTATGACTGGTGGACTTCAGCTCCCAGAATTCCTGAGCCAGCCATGCTGAGGGGAAAGGGAGAGGTTTCCAAGCTGAGCCATGCTGGCTCAGGAATTCTGGGAGTTGGAGTCCACAAGTCATGAGGGGGCCATAGTTCCCCCATGCTGGCTCAGGAATTCTGGGAGTGGAAGTCCACGAGTCATGAGGGGGCCATAGGTCCCCCATGCTGGCTCAGGAATTCTGGGAGTTGAAGTCCATGAGTCATGAGGGGGTCATAGTTCCTCCATGCTGGCTGAGGAATTCTGGGAGTTGAAGTCCACGAGTCATGAGGGGGCTATAGTTCCCCCATGCTGGCTCAGGAATTCTGGGAGTTGAAGTCCACAAGGCATAGAACATAGAAGTCCTGGCACCAAACAACTCCAATCGGAAGATGTGGAGAGAAGTGGCCCACGGAATCACCAAGAGTCGGACCCAGCTGAATGGATAACATCATCTTCATCATCATCATCCTCAAGCTAAAGCCAACTGGGCCTCCATTTCAGAGAGAGGTGTCTGCTTTTGTCGATTTGAGCTTCAACGAAGCGGTGCTGATTTCTGCAAAAGCCCCCCCCCCCCTTCTTCAGTTTTTTAAAAAAAGCAAGCAGCAGCAGACCCGGAGTAAATCCATCTAGAAACATTTCCTCTGCGTAAGCAGCTCTGTGGCCTTGACAATTCCTTTCCCCGAGGTTTTTCTGAAGGCTTCGTCAGCCTCAGCACCGTGTCATTTGTTAAAAGGTGGACTTGGACGGGCCAGCCAGGCGGAGGGGCATAAATGATGGAGGTCTCGCTGGTGACAGCCTTGAAGAAGACAAAATAACGGCCGGTTCTGTCCCCTACAGACACGAGAAGCCGAGTCTGGGATGATAATAAACGTTGACCATAGTACCACTTGGTAAGGCCGCATCC